TATTATCCACTGTCTTAGAAATTCTTTATTATCTTTATTCTTTTTGAAGCCTAATAAAGATCCTACTCTTGTTAGTTATAATTCCTAGATTTCAGCCTCTTCTTCCTTCAACGATTGCCTCCAGATCCAGCGTCATGTTATTCGTCTCGTCTTTCACATCAACTTACGTAGTCCACCTAGTGAACTATGTGATCGTATCATCTTTGTACCTCTCGTCAAACATATTTTCCAGCTTCATACACGATATATCATTCAGAGTTTTAAAACCCAGAATATTATTGGTGACTTCCTAGACAAAAAGGTTCATCCTCCATGGAAGTTGCTTTCACCACTTGGTCACCTTCTAAATACGCATTTGATATTTCTTCCTGTAACTGATCCTGATCATGATATCGCACCAATACTAACTTACCTTACTATATTTATCCAACACAATGACTTAATAGCATAACTGGACTGACTATATTGCTCCACAGATTATCACATATTTTTAGTTTCTGCATGTGAAACTATCCACCAATCACTGCACAATGTTTGGAGTTCATATCTTAAACAACTCATTATACACCTCTCTTGTATTAGGAGCTCATTCGCTTGGGCGAAGAAACGGCGTAACTCTCTGCTGGCCCGCCAGTTCTTTTGAGAGGCTGGAATAAAATCACGTTAAAAAAGTAGTACTAATGAACCGTGAATTCGGCGAAACTTGTCTTCCGCAGAGGTAGTCATTCACGGATACTTTTTTATTCACTGAAATTATATGTTTTGGTAAGGAAAAGAAAAGATAACTAAGAAAACAACTTCAGAAATGTCCGTTATGTTTTGAAATATTAGTACAAATTAAATACTAAACTAGGATTTTGTTTTAGAGATGTATCAATAAATGGTACAAATGTTCATTTTATCTTAACAAGTAAGCTATGTCTTATTTAATTTTAATTTGTAGAACTTGTGTTATATTCCTGATCGCCTTTTAAAATCTTTTCTTCTGTCTTAGTTATTTATGAGTATGAAACTAAAGCGCATACGTATAATATATGTGTTCGTGATACTTTGAAGCTTACATAACTAATTCTTTATGATTCAGTTTCATAAGATGGTCGGCTTTTTTAATGTATAATTAACATAGTGCCAAAACAACATGTCTTTCAGCTGTATGTATATTCGTCCAAAAATAAACTTGTGACAGCTATGAAAAACTTCTCCATCACGTGTTTGTCCTGAGGCACATTTGAAATTATTTGGTTGACACTGTTCTGCGGAAAAGTCTGAAAATAACACTAAACCTAAATCGTTTATTTATTAGTGAGCAGGTTTGGTGAAATTAATGACTAAATAATGAAGATGCTTATAATCCTTTCCATTACAAGATTTGTAATACTGTACAAATAAACTGTTAAAGTGAATATAAATACGGTAAAATTTAACTTTGTTAAGTTACTTGTAGAGAAAAGTAACATCAATGATCAATCGTAATTGATGCTATACTTTTCTCATATGTTTCTAGTTAATTAAGTAATAGAAGCCCTAATTATCAGCTTTTGAATAATAAAAGGCGGCGTCTAACTTTGTTTTAATCATGGTTCCATTACTATTTGTTATATTATGAAATTTGCTATCCTAGTAAGAGAAAAGTTGTTTGACTTTTTTTTTACTAAATTTAATGTCTGTGTGCAGAGATTCAAGCTCTGCAACAAAAACTGACTGGGGAAAGCATAATCTGACTCAGAAGTAGAAGAAGATGTGCTTTTGACATCATTCTCTAAATGTTGAATTTCCAATGGGTCGTCATCACTGATTTACGTGTGTTGTTGAGTGCAAAGCAACACAATGCGCTATCTGTGCTCTGCTCACTACAGGTATCGAAACCCGTTACGGTAGTGATGGTCAAATCTCATCTTCGGTCAGATAACAGTAACCAAAGAGTTGGTGGTGGGTGCTGTTGACAAACTGCTCTCCCTTTAGTTTATCAGCTCGAATAATTATCGGAAAACAAACAAACAAAACAAAAATGAAAGTTTGAAATGATCATTAGTTGAGCGTTCTATTTCTTATTGCTGCTACACCAAATGCCTTACGCCACACTTTATCTAACCTACATATCCTGAATCGTTTGGATTATTGCCGCTCTATCATTTCGAGTCATTATAAAGGCTTTAAGTAGCTAGCTGCCTTGGATGTGATTTTAAAGTGACGATATACAGTTACACAACTAAACGTAGTAATTAAAAACTGTTAAAATCTGTATTGGCAATATGATTGCATGTACGAATACAGAGTATAAAATGTCACTTGAAAATTCATTAGGAGAACATTAGAATCGTCTACCTATTGTTTCTGCTTTTTAAATCTCTCATCGGAGCAAAATAGAAACATTGAACATTTCAAATATATCTGTAAAATAATTTCTAATGTTCTTTATAAAATCTATACTTCTATTGTTGTTGATTTTCTTGATGTACACTAACGATTTTTTTAAAGATGATTTAACACCCATGAAGTTTTATGTGTAACAACAATAACAATTTCTTCTTCTAACAAGAACTTGTATTTTTTATCTCTGAAAATTGTGTCAAAGTCTTTAAGGCATGTTTTTGAATATTTTTGTGAGAGTTTAATGTTAAGTATTTATATAAATGGACTTAAAAAGATAGAGTTTAAGTTAAGTCATTTTCAGAGATAAGTTCGGAAAATAAATAAATATTAAATGCTGTAACAAAAATAAAACATTATAGCCCATTAACCGTGCCTAATGTTATACAACTAATATATAGCATTATTAGAATGTATTGTGCTAAAGACAGTTCTGAATGAGTAGAACCTTTAGTTCATTGTTCCAAGTAAGAGTGATTTCAAAGAACCGTTCTGTAATTCTAAGTACCCATGAGTGAAAGCAAAAGAAAATGTGTTATATACATCTGCTATATCCAGCACTGATATGTTACAGTTTTGTGTAAAAAAAATTAGACAGAAATAATAGTTTTCATCCTGTGTACAGCTTTTGGTAAATACCAGCTCTCATCAGTCCAGTTATAAACCGTTAACGAAAGATGCTACACATTTGATGGAGTTGGACGTGGAGAAACTGATTAAATGTAACATCATTGACATATTTTTACAAACTCGTTCATTCGAAGAAACGTGTTTGAAAATTTCCAACAATAATGCGATTGCCTCAATTGCATAGTTTCTTTTTTTTTACATGCTTTATTATCTGATGTGATGGAAAACTGAAGAAATTTGATCACCCCATTACAATGTATATAACATAAGTTTATTACATAAAAACAAGGCTATCCTTTATAAACCGTCTTGTGTATGGGGATGAATTTTATGCTTTCAAGTTGATCGCTTTGGTCATTACCGAATACTTACCAAGCTTTAAGTTCAATTCAATTATTCGTTAGTCATATATAAAGTACATTTTTAATAATTAAGATTTAGAGGAATAAAGTTCGACACAGGATCTCGAACAAATTTTATTACGAGTGATTCTTTAATACTGTTGAAATGAAGCAGGAATTCTACAATCGGATAAATAAACAAACAAACTAGTTGAATTGAAGTATGAATTTGAGGGCGTTTTTCTTACACATTAGGGTTTTATTTCACAGACAGTAAGTTATGAGTCTTAAGGCATTTCAAGACTTGAAGACTGGGGGAACTTTGTAATAACATTTATGACAATTGAAGATCATCTTTTATGTAAGCTACCTGTTCTCAAATAACATTTAACAAAATTTGTTACAGCAGAATTTGATACGCAAGTAAAATTGAGTAAATTTTCAGTTGTTGATATCCTTTCCATGTTTGTAACTGTAAATATACTTCAAACACTTAATGATACGCAAGTATAATGGTGTACATTTTCAATTGTTGTTATCCTTTTCATGTTTACAACTGTAAATGTACTTCAAACACTTAATGGTGACTGCTCTCACATTCTTTAAACTAGCTCTGATATAAGGTATTTTTTATGAGATGTTTTAAGAACAACGAGTCTCTTTGACGAGATCTGAAACCGAGAAAACTGAATAACAGCATAACTCCAAACCTAAAACAAAAAGTCCGTAATTAATAACTATTCTACTGGCTTTTAGAAATGAGGAAACGTTAAATTAATCAAGTGTGTATATACTAAAATACGATGTATTTATTCGTGAATTTACTCTCTACAATAGCAACCTGACTTATTATGCGTTGTCCAAATTAATATTTTAGAGTAGTTAATTATTGATACTGATCAAAATACGTCATATAGATTGATTGTGCGAAGTCCTACTAAATGCTCCAGGGTATTGATTAATGTTGCTAATCAAAATATGTTAGCAATACAAATAATAACAAAAGGAAAGCATAGAACATATGTTACAGGTTTGTGTAAAAGATTTTAACAAATGAGACTGAAATAATAATCATCATTATTTGAGTCTAGTAACGCTGAGCATGCCAGAAAAACATACAAATCTCAATATCATTTATTGAAAGTTTTTTATTTATTAATCTGAATTGCGTAGTAGAATATTTAAGATCATTAAGCACCTATTTCAATAATGTGTTGATCCAGGAAAAAGGTGGGTAATGTACTACATTATCAGAATTTGAAAAGCGTATTCCTTTTACTGACCTATATATCTTAGGCCTTCTTCTGCTGTTCATTAGGCATGTCATTATTATGACTGGAATATCAAATTCAAGGGAAAAGTTATATTTATGCCCCAAGGTTGTCTATTTTTAGCAACTTATTTTCACTCAGTTCTAAAAACTCACATAATGTGGGGGAATCAAAACGATGTTTGTCACGATGTTGTTATTGGATTTTTTATAGAAATCCGCAGTTTTTTTCCCCTGATTTTACCTTACTACATTCATACTGGTTTGAAACCCACTTTCTGAGCTCAAACTAGAAATGAAACATTTACAAGAAATATTGTACGTACATATATTATCTCATTTTCAATGGCGATTTTGTATTTCGTGTACATATGAGGATTCGGAAACATAGAGAAAGTAGCTCTGTTTTCAAACATTCAAAGGCACTTAACATCATAATATCTTCAACATATTGTTGCTAAACAAATTTATAACCTTATGAAAAAAAATTAACATAACGACTTATACCTGTTTTTTTCATTGTGAATAAAGCAGGTTAATTTTGGTAAATTATAATTGGTTGACTGAACATGCTTTGTTAACTGCGAAAAACATTGTTTATTATACTAATTATGTCTACGTTAGCCATTTCCATTTGTTTTAATTTACTGATACGTTCATGCATAAAGTGAAAATTTACCCGAGGTCCAAACACTAACAAGCACATAGGTCAGTCTTACATATTGTATATAGCCCCCCAGTGGCACAGCTGTATGTCTGCGGACTTACAACGCTAGAATCCGGGTTTCGATACCCGTGGTGGGCAGAGCACAGATACCCCATTGTGTAGCTTTGTGCTTAATTAAAAAAAAAACATATTGTATACCTTTTCCATATAGTGTACAATTAGATAGTATATTTCATTTCCAATTTTAACGGAGGTCCGGACCTCGGTGACCTCATAGCCATGCATTTATGCCAGTTTCAAACTATGAAACACACTCCTCTACAGGGCTGTGGTAAAGAGACTGGCTTTAACTTAACTTAAAAAGAAACACTGTATTTCGAGGAAATGATGCAATTGTATAAGTTTTTTCCTTCTAGGCATCAATACCTTGCCTTTATCATTGGTTCTCTTGTTTCGACTTAGTTGTACATAATTTATGAAAGCTAACCTTAGAATGCAATGCGTAAAATATAAGAGTGGGTAAGTTTAATGAAACGTTCCCAGCAATGGTTAGCTGCTATACTGATTAGATTTTTAAACAAAGGATTAAAAGAGCCAATCTCATCAATGAAAATAGTATACTTCTTGTAATTTTAAATATTTATTCTTGAATTTTTATTTCATTTTCTTAATATTTTACTTACTCTACATATGTAAGTGCAAGTTTACCAAGACAACAAGAACTTAAGTAATTCAGTTGAAAGAATTACATAGCTATCCTAACTTGTGAATGATATGGAAGGAATAAACTTGCATTCTCGGTTTCAAGACGGTCACCTCAGCATAGTAAAACATTTGTTTGTTCTTTAACTGACCACCGCAGACTGTAATTATTAAAAAAGGAAAATATATAATTTACACCCATTAACACTAACTGGCCTTTGCTATAAATTCCATTGCCTTATTCCAACAGGAACACCTGCGCCGGGCGGTAGCCCCCCTCTTACCCCTATATATTGGCCCCTTGCTCTGACCCACAAGTGAAAATTACACCACTACATAACTACCGCTGGGTGGCTGTCTCGAGCGAACATAGTTAAGCCCGGAACTTTCAGTTGGTAACCCGTCGTACAACAAGCGAATGATAATAAGAATCTAAGTTATCCTTGTGTATATAGCCCTGAACAGGTCTGGCCGGAAGATAATTACATTTCAAGGGGTTAAAAAGGTTATAAAAGTGAGCTGACGTCCTTGCTGACGGCGAGACTTCTGTACTCGGAACAACGAAGTTCTCTTCTTCTAAAGGCATGAATCTAGCTAGTGTCATATTACTAATCATCTCTAAACTGAATTGGGCACTGTACTAATACAAATAGTTTTTATTCACTGTAAACACATATCAAGGTTTATCAAGATATGAACTGAAATCAGAATGGCTACAAACTACACTAACCCATGAGACAATTACGAAAGTACATGATCGAAAATGAGAGATGAATCCGTGTTAGAGATACTCATTTCATGGAATAAATATTAATATTCATTCTATGAAAAACGTTATTCTTAAATACAACTGTATTCGTTTCTACACACCTGAAATTTTACCGAAGTGGTCTGATGAAGCTCATGGAATGATGGAGTAAAACTGCCGTACTCAATTGCGAGTGTGTTAACAAGTGAGGTCTGGTTGCCTATATTCTCAGCATAACTGATGTAATATAATATGGTTGGCATACAGGTAATAATATACTGTTTCTTCTTTAACAATCCTCTTATTATGCTAAATAAGCTAATTACTTACTGGTAACTTAGGATTTTTATTCTACATTGTTAACTCACTCTGATCTGGCCAACTTTCTTTTGACTCATTCTTAAATAATAAACAGGTAATATATATTTTTAATATGGTTTGATTTGTTGCACAAAGCTGCACGAGGGCTATCTGCGCTACCGTCCTTAATTTAGCAGTGAAAAACTAGAGGGAAGGCAGCTGGACATCACCACCCATCGCCAACTCGTCGGTTACTCTTTTACCAACGAATAGTGGGATTGACCGTCACATTATAATGTTCCGCGTCTGAAAGGCGAGCATGTTTGGTGGGACGGGGATTTGAACCTGTGACCCTCAGATTGCGAGTCAAGCGCCCCAACTATCAGGTCGTGGCAGGTCCGTTATAATATGTATCAATAACGCAATTTTCTATAATCGATATCCAACTAATAATCAATGAATTCGTCAAAAATTTGAGCTTTCTATTGTTTTGTTTTTTATTTACTTTAACACTTTATTATTTCAATATTTGAGATTTCAAAAGGCTAACTGAACAATAAAAAATCACTAAGTTAATTAAACACTGGCATATTATAGTAAAAACTCTACTAAGTCCAGCTATTCAATTTATTATTGTAGGAATTGAAATATCAATATGATTTTGTCATTTAATCCTTGAATCATCCAAAATTGGAAACCATAAACAGTTGCTTAAAATGCAAATATCTAGCATTTTACTGTTTACTGTTTGTTAAATTTTACTTGTGGCCTTGAATCGGTGATTTTGCTTGGTTTTGAAAACTCGAATTTGTCTGTTTCTTTGTTCTCACGGTTCAGTTTTTCAGTCAAAGTTAAATCTGAAACTGATGTGTTGTTACCTGATGTACAGACATTATGAGTTAGGTAGAACATAAGAACTGTTGGACAAAAGACAATGGCAAAATCTAGAGTGAGAAGAGACACGATGAACAATACATTGCTTTCTCCTAGCACAGGGATTCTCAACTTTTCCTCCATCATTAACCCTCTCGGCTTGATGTA